GGCCAGGTGGGTGTGCAGTCGGGACTGAGCCTGCGCCCTCTGGAAACACAGGCCGACCCCGCCTGGAGCAGAGCTGGGAGGACTCGAGGAGAGCACCAGGGAGGACGGCTGATTAGTCTCAGAAAGAGGGAAAGGACCCTGCGCTTAAGGGTGGCTGGAGGCACGCAGGGCAGAGGGGCAGCATCTGGAAAGGCACAGAGAGGTTAAAAAAGAACTGTGATCTCTTTAGGAAACAGCGCCCAGGCTGGTGCACATGGAGCCTGCAGAGTGTGGGGGTGCTTGGGCGTGGGGCGGGGGGAGGCTGGGCTGTATCGTGCAGGCCTCCTCTTCACGCTGGGGGGCTGGGGCTTTATTGTAAGCAGTGGGGAGTGACGGAACCCATCCACAGTGGAGAAACACCATTCTGCTGGCAGCATGGATAATGTCCTAGACTTGCATTTTTTGTCTTTTTGGTGAGAGAGGTAATTAGTTTTTTGTTTGGGGTGGTTTTTTCTTTTTTTTTTTTTTTAACGGAGGTGTTGGGGATTGAACCCAGAACCTTGTGCATGCTAAACACATGCTGTACTACTGAGCTACACCCTCCCCCACTAGACTTGCATTATTTTTTTAAGTCCAGTTTTTCATTCACGTATCTGGCGACTATTAAGAGACTAATCCTGGGCATGCTGAAAATACGGAGAGCCAGCCCTGGCCTGCAAGTTGTTCTGCGTCGTCTGGCAAAACAAAACCAGTTGCAGGAAGAGCAAGACCGCCCTTTCGGCTGTGACTGGTTAGTGGCAGGAGCCCGAGTCAGAGGACCAGCGCTTTTTGCTCCCTCCCCAGACTGCCAGATGTGTTCTGGGTTATCTTTTCTCCAGGGCTGTTTACTGCCACGTCTCCACCCCTACCTGAGGGGACTTCATTCTCAGCAGAATAATTTCAAATTAGGAGGTTTCTGGATGTTTCAAATGTCAGCACCTCTGCTTGGACTGCAAGTTTGGAGCAACTCGTGGAATTCTGTTTTACACCGAGGAACCTCATGGTTGGGCGCATCTGTAGTCAACACTGTAAGCTTTATAATGACATCTTTTGCTTGGAAGCCGTGGCCAGAGACCAGCGTGGGATAGTTTTCAGTGAATGACCTGAAACACTGGGCGATGAACATGGGCCGAGTCTCGACAGCGCAGGAGGTGACGTCGGTCCCTCACTGTGAGCAGTCACCTGTGCTGCCTGCAGAATGACAGGCTTGTCACGGAACTGCCTGCGACACCACAAGCTGGCGCGTAGCTCTTCCCCTACGAGGCCTGAAGCAGAGATTCATCCCCTTGGGTGCTGTTCTTTGGGCAGATGTTTACTAGCTGCTACTTGCTACGTGCTGGGTGATAGATGTGTGTGTTACATGTCATAGGCCTGGTTTGCAGAGAAAATGTGTTTCAAGTGTGGTTACATGGTTATCAGTGGCTTTGATTCGGTGAAAAACGGGGTAAGCTTTGGGGTCCAATGTAATTGGATTCAAATTCAAGCTCTGCCTCTTGCTGGCAAATTACTTCATTTGTTTCCTCATCTAAACAACAGGGTTCCTAATGAATACCTCTCTGTGGTAGTTTTCGAGGTTAAATGAGATAAAGTGGCTGCCATAGTAGGTGTTCCAAAAAAAAATTAAACATTGGATAATATTTAACACAGCTCCAGAGCCTGGTGGTAATGAATCACATGATTACAAGGCGTTGCTGTGTGATCTCACCCTCATCCCACTGAGCGCCCTTCTGCACGCCTTCTCTTCCTCCAGACTCCCTCCCCCCTCCCCCACGCCCTCCTCTCCCACTCACCCCTCCCCCACTCCCCCTTCCCCCACTCATCCTCCCCCAACTCAGCTCCCTCCTACATCTTCCTTGAAGGGTCTCTCTGGCTTCTGCCCGTAACCCTTCAGTAAATATGCAGCCCTGTCCGCTGTCGGGCAGTTCTGACTATTAGTTGGCTTTTTCCCCCCTCTACTGAAATTGAGATCTGCCCCCTGTAGCCTTCTCCCGTTTTCTAAACGCATGATGTCCAGGCCTGCTCTGCTGGGCTTTGTAGTAGAAGCCCTATCCTAAAGAAGCAAGGCTCCCTTGGAAGTAGACTTCAGACACATTTCCAAAAAAAAGAACAGAGTCGGATTATTCTCCTGTGCAGTGGCGTGAGGAGCAGTAACAGGGAGCCCCTCCAGATTCTAAAATAATGACCTCACCTTTGAGCCTGCTGACTCCACTTCCCGGATCGCCATGGGTCGGTGGAGCAGGCCTTAATTGAGAGCCTACTGTGTCTTCTGGTGTCTGATGCTCGCGTGCTCCAGCCGCCCGCCGGGGGATTTGGCCGAGGCTGTGTGCTACTCAAGAGGTTTGCCGTTGGCATTAGAGGAAGCGGCTCTGGGTGAGCCCTGGCTTAATTGGACGAGGCTTCACAGACTCTGAGCTGACCCTTTAAGGACCTGTAAAACTGAAACACGTGGCATGAAGGAGAGCAGGCCCTCTAGTGAATCCTCAGCACGAGCCCATGAGAAGGTAATTCGTTCTGGGACAGCCGAGAGGAAGGATGTGTTTTTGCAGGTTTTGATGTGCCGGGGTGGAGAAGGTGTCCTTGACATTTTCCAAGGAGTTTCAGAGAACTGCTTTGGGGTGTACTGCTGCCCCCTCACCCCGCAAATTTGCTTCTTAGCCTGCGTGGGAGAGCGGATGGGCGGGTGGCAGGCTGCTCCACTTCTCCCGAGATCTGTGTACTTTGTTGAAGTTGAATGTACAGGATTGCTGACATTTTTGTGCCCCCAACAGTCATCTCATCTTAAGTGAGATTTGGAGCAATGCATGCCTTACGCTTTATCTTTTTTACGAATGAGAACCTATTTGTATGATGTACTCTCTCTGGAGGATTATGTACAGGAGATGTCAGGCTTCCATTATCAAAGCAAAGCAACCTGCACATTTTGTGTTTTGCCTTCTTTGTGCCGTGAAATCAGCAATTGACCTAAATTACCAGTTCACTCCGTCGCATCCCTAAGGAAGAGAGCTTTGCACCGTGACACAGGTGGATCCGTCCGGGATCCACGTACTTCACGTCTCATCAGATGTTGTGCTGGAAGATCTCGTCCTGATTCCCGTGGCTTTTCAGTTCTGCAGACCGAGTCAGTTCTTATGGCTCATGTAGCCTCTTCCTGAAGTTCTTATTTCATTTAATGATTCAAAAGAGCTATCGTTTACCATCTCTCACTGGCTTCCTTAGCTTCTCATCTACCAAAGTAAAGATGCAATTTCTTGGGCCTTTTGGAAGGGCCATTCCCCCTGAGTAGGTGGACCTGGTGCCTGGTTGCAGTGGGATTCTGACACTACCTGGCATTAGGGCAGATTTTCCAGGCAGGGGGCAGTCCCCTACTAGTCTGCTCTTATTGTAAATGGTAAGATGCCTGTGCCCAGACCATCTCATTAGAATTCCAGTGCATGGCGTGGTTATAATTACCATTTCACCAGGGCCTCTGAGCTAGTTAGTGGTGGAGACAGAACTCAACCCCAGCTTTTTCTGACCCTGGGACCTTGGCTCTGTCCCCTGCATCTTGCTACCCCTCAAAGTGTTTTTCTAGGGAGCCCAGTACCACCATTCTTTCATTCAGTCACTGCTCCGTGCTTGACACGTGGTTAAAGCATCTCTGAGGACCATTGAGAGGAACTCGTGAGCCCTTGGGCTTTGCCTGTGGAATGTCTGTCCCTGGAGAGATTTCCTCATTCTTCCCTCCAACCTCATGGCATGTAATTTGGAGCTATGTAACATAGATCCAAAGCCTGTGTAGCTTTCTGCAGATTTCTCTCCTCCATGTACCTATATTTCCATAATCCAGTCATATTTGCATAAAGAGAATTATGGTGTGTTGGGCAACTTCGAAAAGAAGTTCATTGGATTGTGAACACATTTTTTCTTAATAGAGTCTTTTAAATTAAATCTGTCAACTTGTATACTAGGGAATCTGGCATTCTCTTTCCATCACTGTGAACATAGTAACGTAAAATTAGGTCATAAGATGCTGGTTGATGTTGGTAATTTTTTTTCTCCTTTTGATTGCAAAAAGAGATCTTTATCTAATTGTCTTTTTGATCTATATTTTGCAAACAAATGCACAAGCATAATAAAGAAAAAGAAAAAGTGTAGAATACATTGTTGTACTCCTTAATGGGGATACAGTTTTATATTTTGCTTTTTAAGGTTGTCTTTAAAAGAAGTGAGGTGATTTTTGAGAGACTGAGCACCATTGTCTTCTGCTTACGGAAACATTTCACACCCTGCCCCCCCATACAGGCACAGCACACCCACGACGCCATCACGGAGGCCGCCCAGCTCATGAAGGAGGCAGTGGACGACATCATGGTGACACTGAATGAAGCTGCCAGTGAAGTGGGGTTGGTGGGAGGCATGGTCGACGCCATTGCAGAGGCCATGAGCAAGGTGGGTGCAGGCTCCCAGGCGCTCTCCTTCACCCTGTGACCCTACTTCCTCCAAGGTGTCCCTCAGACGTGGGCCCAGGTGCTGTGCTCTAGGGAGATGTCAGTCAAGGCTGACACCAACAAGCCTCCTCTTTTCTGATTAATGTACGAGTGTTCCATCATACGTCTAACGTGTTCTTTGTTATTTATTATTCGTTCATTACTTTTGTAAGCCAGTTGCACCCTTCCTTCCTCATTGACACAAGGGGAAACGGAGATGGAGAAGGCATCACTGGCCCCCTCCCTTATAAAATGGAAATAATTATTTACTTCCCTGATAATCATAGAGTTGTGCTAAACAAACCGCACAATGAAGTAAGGAAGTGATTCTCAAGTGCTGGCGTTCAGCATGGCTAATTTGAAATCACTGGGAGCATTTTAGAATGCACATTCCTAGGCCCTGCCCCAGCCCTGATCACTTGGAATCTCTAGGTGTGGAGCCTAGGAATCTGTATTTTTAAATCTCCCCTTAGTTCTGGGATCTAGCCAGATGTAGAAGCCACTGAAGTGGCCGAGCACGAAAGCCCTTGTGGACCACAGCCATAGGTCACGTGGGTGTCATTTCTCCTCCAGTGACCCCATTGGTTGGGTTGGGTCCAGAGGGAAGGATGAGTGGACAGGCTCTCCTGCTCTCTCCCCGGGGAATCCTTCACTAGTCGTGTCTGCTGGATACTCATTAGAGTTAACAACTGTTCATCAACATCTAATTGCCGGTCCTCTGATAGCATAGCCAAGAATTTCAGACTTCGTCTGTGTTTTGAAATGTCCATTGTCAGATTGCGAATACATTAATGTGGTTTTTTGGGATAATAGGTGGTCTTTAATTGCTAATTTAGAGAAGATTGGTTGGTTCATCTCGCCATAAGCAGCCGACAGCCTGAAGCTCTAATTAGGATAATCCCCCTTAAACACGATACAAGCATTATTGGATGGTTAGAGTCCCAAGCCGGGCTGGGTTGCTGAGGGTCCCTTAAAGACCCCAGGCTTGCCTTGTCAGAGCACACTGGTGATTTCTGCTGTGGGCTTCTCATGCTTCACGTTTGGGCAGTTTGACAGGAAATGGGTGACATTCCCCTCTTCCTCAAGGCCCTTGGGTAAGTCTCAGTGGGTTTGTTTGGCTTTCAGGACGTCAGAACACCAGAGCTTTGAAATTAAGCCATGTATCTACCAAGCATATTAAATAATGGAGCTCAAGTTTTCTCAACACAAATTAGAAATTTAAGTGATAGTCCTTTTCTTCTCGGGAGATATTTTTCACAATCACTGTAATGATAGGGAAGAGTTCCACCAGTCCCTGGAATATGGAAGGTTTCTTTGGTTTGTTTTTATGGACTTTGAGCCTTGCCTATTGTGTTGGGTCTTCAAGAAGGAAAGTGGCTCTTATACTGTCTGATTTCAGGGATGTAAAAGCTGCTGTCTCGGCCCAGGACACACTTGATTGTTTTGGTAGGGCTGAGAAATGGGTCTGGTATTACATGATAGTAAAAATTAGGAATTGCTAACAACATGAGCCGCAGAGTTCTGCAAAGCATATCACTGGGGTTTCACCGATACCCGTAAACTCCTGTCAACCCTGACCTGACACCCAAGGTACCACACAGTGCCTCTTCCCCATTGCCCCTTTGCTAAGCTTACCCCAGCCTGCCCATCACTGGGGACTGTGTAGTAAGTGATGTCTCAGGTCCTTTGAGCCCCTTAGCAGTAACACATTACAAATAAGGCATTTTCTATCTGAGTTTTGGTTATTTGGTTAAAACGCTGATGCACTGTTAGAATCATTTTCTAAAATCCTGAAAGGCAATGACTGGCAGAAAAATTCAAGTGTATAATCTCAGAATAAAGGGAAGTTCTTCAACTAAATAAATTTCAAATCCTAAAAAAAAAAAAATCACTACTTTGTTCTTACTTTTCTCATTGTGTTCACACTGGTAGAGGTTCATCATGGTGGCCGGTGGCCACTGTGTTCTAAGCTGCCCTCTGTCGCCAACATCCTGGCCTGTTTGCAGTTACACCGCATCTTGTGTGAAGGCTCCCAGCACATGGACCAACCCTTAGAAGATGTCCAGTCAATTTATACTGAATGTATAAGTCCACAGCTCAACCCTCAGTTGAACAGCAGGGCCCCCATGGTGTGATGGAGATACTTGGCAGTGTATATCTCTCTGATAAAGAATGGAGAAGAAATCTACCCTGGGGTTTGTGTTGTTGGTTTGGTAGAAATTACATCCCAGCCTATGCAACCTCATACACTAGGCTACGGTGATACATTGATTCAGCTCGCATTGTCACTTGGATCTGGTCGTGACATGTAGCTCCCATGGATGACTCCATCTAACCTTTTCTTACTTGCCTATGGTCCCTGTCTCTTCCCAGACTGCCAGCTATCTGGCAGAGAGCTACCAGGGAGGGCTTGTCAGGTGTATCAATGCCTACTCCAGACCCCACCATTTCCTTCATGATTCCGAGGTTCTTCATCAAACAGATCCAGCTTGATTCCCACCCCCTCACCAGCTCCCTTCTGTTCACCATCCTCACTCTTCCTATATTCATTTCTCTTCACCTTGTCTCCTCACGTAGAATATCATTCAGCAAGAAGTGGTGACAGTCACGATGACGATGGTGGTGAGGATGGTGGCCTTTTTCCTCATAACCATCACTGACACTATCACCATCATCATCAACTTCATTATCATGGTCAGCCTCTCCTCTGCCTTCATGTAGCTGTTCACGTAGGTGAGAGGTATTATCTCAGTTGACCTTCACTCCAACCTTCTGATGCTTGGAAGTCTCCTCAGAGAAGGACTTGAGATTCAGTTAAAATACCCAGCTTGAGGCTCCTTCACAAGTCCTGGAACCAGGTCTCAAATCCAAGTCTTCTGAGCCCATGAGTCCCCAGTCCTTCTTCAAAGGACAGAGCCACTGTCCCACTTCTCCACCTCTTCCGTTCCACACTGATCTTGCTTATCTCTCAGTGCCGATAGTGCTAGAGTCAGATGAGCAACAAGTTATTCCTGGTGTTTGCAATGCCTTCTCTTACCCGCTTAGATCAGCAGTGAGGGTTCTGGGGGATAGATATCCACGCCCTGCACCATTCCTAGGGAAGCCCTTCATGATGTAGGTTCTGCCTCCTCCCCCAGCTGACTGTCCGACACTCTGACTTCCCTACACCTGGGCTCTCACCCACCTCCGTACCCTCAGGCACTGCTCCCTCCCCTCGGGACTCCTTCCCCACCTTTTGTTTGAAGCAGACTCCTTACCTGGTATGACTTGCCCAGCCGTCCTTCCTCTGGACAGCCCTCCCCCTCCCCGCAGACAGATTGGGGTCTCTCCTTGCCTGTGTGCCCCTCCCCGCAGACAGATTGGGGTCTCTCCTTGCCTGTGTGCCTTGAGTGCTTTGTATACGTCTCTCATGAGGTCCTTCTCACAGAAGCTGGGGGATTCTGCTCACTCGAGGCCAAAGAAGCTCTGAAAGCCTCTCCATTTTTCTAAAGCCCGCACTTCAACAGGCCTCTGATGACCTTTGGGTTCTTTCCCTCTCGTCTGTAGCTGGATGAAGGCACTCCTCCAGAACCAAAGGGGACGTTTGTCGACTATCAGACGACGGTGGTTAAATACTCCAAAGCCATTGCGGTAACAGCTCAGGAAATGGTAAGAGGAAAATGGGCTGCCCCCCCCCCCCGTTGCCCTCTTGTCCACCGCATCACGGAGTCCTCAGATCTGGGGTCTGTGCTGGAGAGAAATTGGTCCTTGCCACCAGCCTCCCCCTGGGCCCCAGCTTTGTCCTTATCTGTGGTCTTTCTGGCTGCCTGTGGTCTCGAAGCCCCGGGCCACTAGACATTTCATCTCATGAAAAAGCTCTAAAAGGGAATTAATGATTGACTGAGACTTGGGCATGAGGACAGGGGAGCAAAGGAAAGAGAGAAAATTAGAATCAAGGAGGAAATGAGAAGGAAATTGCAAATTCCAGAGAAAGAAAAAATATCCTATTTATCTCACAGAGGACTTGAGATGTCCTTCTAGATTAAAGTTACAGGACAAGAGAAGACATTTGGGGATAGAAGTGAGATTGTCTGATGGAATCAAATTATAATACTTGGACTGTACTTACAATGAGCAATAACATATTGCCAGTCTTTCAGGCAAAATAAAAGTGTGGTTATATAAAAAAATTTTTTTCTCCTGACAGCAGAAGGCATGTAAATTTTAGAGGTAATTTTTATTTATTCGTTTTTTGCCAAAATGTAATGCAATCCATTTGTATCATATGGATGTTTAGACATAAACGGCATTGAGAGACAGTGAATGTTATCAATAGGTTAAAAAGTCGTACCAAAAAATAACAAATGTTGTCCTCAGATAATTAATAGACATACATAGTAAGAAAGTTCTTAACTTCTGAAGGCTCAGATGTCACAGGATAAAACTGAAAGGCGCCTGTTTGTTGCTACCCCCCTCTTCAGCCGGAGTTTGAGGGACGAGACTGCGCCGCCACGTGATTCCTGCCCCATCAGGCCCAACGCCTCTCTGGACGATTTTGTCATGTAGTCGTGTGTCCACTAGAGGTTGAGCTTGGACCACAAAGGCTTCCCCAGCTGCTGCTGCTCTTTCTTAGAAACCCTGCAGTTGTGCCAGGCTCGTTGTTGAAAAGGACTCGGGCTGGGGAGGGAGGGAGGAACAGTGCCCATCTCAGCGACTGGGAGGAGGCTGGAGTCGGCCCCGATCTGGCCCTGCTCGAGAGCTCAGGGGGATGCAGGTCACATCTGGCAGCCCTCGGTGCCAATTCCTCCGAGCAGGGAGCGCAGGGCAGCTCACCAGAGTGGGGGAAACAGTTCCAGTGGCCTCACGGTGTTTCTGGAATATCTCCTGGGCTAGGCTCTCGGCCAGCCCGTCTTGACCCTGCGTGTCCACACTTGAGGAGCCCGGCTCCTGGCTGTGTCAGCACTCCTGAGGTGGCTGGCGGGGTCCCTGATCGGGTGAGAGTCCTTTCAACCACCCCAGGTGGACCCCAGAATCACTGTGGCCTCAAATGGAACAGCTCTTGGCACAGCCTTGTTCTCTTGGGGTTTGGCATGCGTTCCTTGGGAACCCACACCTTGGCCGAAAGCCTGTGACACTTCCTGATTCCTTGGGAACCCACACCTTGGCTGAAAACCTGTGACAAAACCTGGCACATGTTCACGTCCAGCCTCAGTGGCTGCAGAGTCATATAACAGGTTTTTTGTTTTTTTGTTTTTTCTCTTAAAGCCCTTTAAATACAAAGAATTCAGATGCCACAGAAAGTACTGTTGTCTAGGGAACAGGTTGGGCAGGTGGGAAGCCTTGGACCCAAGAGGGACATGGATACCTTTCTGGGTGGCAGGTTCAAACTGCCTTTGGGAACTAAGAGGCATTTTTTTTATCAGAAGAGGAAAAAACTAGAAACGAGCATGTCCACTAGGTAGAGTAAGTTAAGTTTTTCTTTGAAACGGGGGAAAATAGAGAATATCTTGAGAGTAGAAAAGGCAGAACTTGACCATTTTGGCTGCAGCGTACTCTTCACTAAATTTGTGGCTGAAACGTGGTCGTTCTTTGGCACAATGTTACTCCAAAGCTGTATTCTGTGAGTTTCTTCCTCCAAAACAAAACGTTAGGTGTGTCCATCACTTGAGCCACGATTTTCTAATGACCCTGTCCTCATGCCCCCCTCAGCGGTGCGGGACCCCCTTCTGGGTTCCCAGAGACCAGATCAGCCCCAGAGCCACGTGTGACCCGGGTGTGCGCTGCTCGGAGCTGCGCCCCCTTGCGGTTTCTCTAGGGAACTTCCCTGGGGACCCCACGGGGCAGGGCTGGCTGGACGCTGTGTTCTCACCTCCCAGAGAGGGGACCCTGAGGCCCGGCCTCCACGCTGCACGGCCTGACCCTGAGCATGCTGCCACTGACCCGGCCGGGACCTGCTGGCCTGTGGTGCGGGATGCAGCACCCGCTTCACTTAAACCGCCCTCTCCAGCGTCCAGCCCCCAGTGCGAGCCAGAAGCTTGAAAGTGAATGAAACCCTTTGGCTTCCGGTGATATTAACCCGTGGTTCTCACGCTTTTCTCTGTGTGTATGTGTGTTTGTGTCTTGCTTGTTTTCTTTTTCCAGATGACTAAGTCGGTTACTAACCCGGAGGAGTTGGGAGGACTGGCTTCACAAATGACCAGTGACTATGGGCACCTGGCTCTCCAGGGCCAGATGGCAGCAGCCACGGCGGAACCAGAGGAGGTCTGCCACCTTAAGTCCCTGTTTTAAGGAGTAAACCCACACTGGTGCCCACTCCCGGGGAACTGTCCATAGCTTAGCTCCTCCCCCAGAAGACCCCAGCCTGGTAGCCAGAACCAGGCTTATTCCCTTGCACCCCCCAGGTTTAGACCCAGCCTGTGCTCAGGGCTCACTGTCCTTTCTGAGGCTGATTGACAGAGACCTGGGGCCTCTGGGGAGGCGGGCTTTCGCCAGAAGGACTCTGTTTACAGTGTTCTGCCAGGACTCCTATCCCATCACCTGATGCCAAGGGCAGAGCAAGCACCACACTTCCTTTTCCCACTTAGCGGTCCCCCTCAATTATGTGTATATTTCCCAAAGGCTCACAGAAGTATTAGAACAGTCAAGTGCAGAATTCAGTTATCCCTCCCTTGGGAAAGAGCTGTGTACCTAGCCTGCTTTCATGAATCAAAGTCTTGCCCAAATATTGTTGGTGGCTTTTTAAGAGCTGACCCAGATCCCTGTCCAGTACCTCCTGTGGACCCCTCTTCCTTACCATCCTGCCTTCCCTAAACTCGCTTTCCTTAATGGCCAACGCAGGCTTGCCTCAGAACACCTGCACCCTTAAGGGTCTTTAAGTGGCCAAAGTTTAGCTCCAGAGGTCACTCTCTAAGAGGTCCCCTGTCTAATAGCTCCGAGAAATGGAGTGGCCTATTGACAGGCACACAGGATGGGTGCCTGAGGACACACATCAATGTTAACACACAGAAGGGGCCCAGGCCTGAGCTCCCGCGTGCCTCCTTAGAGAAAGGAAGCTCCGTCTGCAATAAGGGATAATGGAGTGGATTGCAGGGACCCTGGGAAGACGAAGGTAACTACATCCATGAAATTCGGCGAGCTGTTTGTGGAGGGCAAATCCTGTTCATAACACTCCTAAGTGAGCCAGGCTGTCAAGGCAGAAGCTTGTGGCCGTCTTCCCTTCTCCTGGGGTTGACAGTCAGTGTCCGCTAGTTACTCAGTGCTGCTGTTTGTCCTGAGGGCCAGGTCTAAGCATGTCTTCACAAAGACTCCCAGAGACACTACAGAAGTGAAAACCCCAAACGCAGTCACTTTCTAACGTACGTTGTAACAATGCATGTAAATGGGAATATCATATATATGTACTTGCTTACATATATATCCGCATGGGATGACTTGAGTTTCTAACAGTGCCTGTGGTTTGAGATTTTAGATTGATTATTTAGGCTGCGGCATGAATAATTCTATTTGCAATGAATCTGTTAAGTGACTCCCAGGAAAGAAAAATTATCAGAGACTTGCATCAGGATTCTGTTGGTTCTTTACACAAGGCCATCATTTTTGTTTTTAAAACGACTCCCTGTTTTAGTAGGATCATGTGGACTTGTAATTCATGTGATTAACATGTAATTTTGAATTTCATAAATAAGTATAAGAGAACTAGTGTTACAGTTAGGGAAAGTTTGGGCAAAAGGAAGAAGTGTTTAGCTTTTCAAGAGGGTTGGAAACTAAAGGAGGCTGATTGTGAGGGAGGTTTGGGTCTCTGTCCCGAGAAATCTTTGAAGGTGAAATCTACATGCGTCTGCCTTGATTGGTTTCAGTGCTGACCTGCCTGAGTTACTGAGCAAATACCCAGGGATCTATGAAGCCCTTTTCCACTTCTGAGTTCTTATGAGCCACCCCACCCCACGTGTGACACAAGCTGCATATTCTAAATGCAACTCAGATCATTGCAGCAAAATGCAAAAGAAATGCCAAAGCAGCCAGGAAAGAAAACGCATTGCTAAAAGCACGAGAGCAAGTTGCTTTAGGTCCTGGCCCTGCGTTTGCAGCAGCTAACGTTTCCATTAAGGTTTTCCCTTTTCACCATTATATCTTGAGATGTGTTTTACATTCCAGACACACGAGCAGTGTGACCTGGAGCGAAAAGGGGCAGAGAGAATATAAAATTACCAGTGGCTCGCGAAGGAAAATTCTTTGTGTGCATTTGCCAGACAGATATTTGGGGGAAAACTGAGAAGGTTAGGAGAGATCCCTGAAGCAAGGCAGATTTTTATTCCAAGTCTGTGGAATTATTTGTATACCCAAGAGGGCCCCACATCACAGCATGTGAAAATATTTATATCCAGGGCAAATAAGAAGTCGCCCCCTTCCCTGCGGTCCTGCAGTTTGCTGTGCCGAGTCAGCGTTTTGGTCTTTTCCAGAATGGGACAATCGCAGGAAAATCCTAGCTCTGCCCTCTGAACATCCAGCCCGAGCGTTCTCTGCTAATTTTTCCATGGAAAATTCAACCTTTTGCTAACATCCCTTTGAAAACTTCTTTTTTCAGAGAAGTGAAAACCCTCTGGCGACTTTGCAATTTATGATGTTTCCTCTTTAAAAAAACAAAAGAAGAAAGAAAATGTAGATCCCGTGAGCCACAGCTTCTAAATGCAAAGGCGGGGGACAGGTTTAGTGAAGATGGTGCCGTCTCTGAGGACGTGTTGCCGTAACCACGGGTAATCCTGCGTGTCTTAAAAGCTGGCAGGAACGTTTGTCAGGAGCCTGTGGTGAGAACCAGAGCCCTTTCCCCTGGATGAGAGAAGTGTCTGCTCGAGACTTCCCTAAAACTTTCCACTCCGGGGCACACTTTCTGTGGGTGGCAGGGTGATGCCCTGCCTCTGCGGTACACACTAGTTTTTCCTGCCATGTTTGCCATCGAAGGAGGAACTCCAGTTGGTCAGATAACACCCATTCTTGCCCTCCAAGTCCACGGGCGCTCCCAGGCAAATTCTGTTTGACCTGGTTTCAGATGGGATTGTTCTTAAAGCCCGAGTGTAATCTGTACGTTTTGTGTAGTTTTAGGCAGTCAAGACAATGGATCCGTGGTTCTTAGACACCCTCCAAGTGAAACGAGATCCAAGCCTTCACGAAGGCCAGGCTTCTAATTTCCCTCAAGGCACAAAACCAGAAGACAGTCTTCTCCATTTTACTTTTATTTGGGCAGGAAGAGGGGATTGAGGGTTTTCTTGAGGTTCAAGTATTGCTTTACTAAAGCTGCCAATTTAGAACTCCAGAGTTTATGTCTTGGAGCAACATTCCTTTCTAATAAACACTGGTGGTAAGTTGGATCACTCTGGGGGCTGGTCCTATTTGCAGAGAGGTTTAGTGTTGCTTTGAGAAGCGCAGCATTTTTAAAGCCCTTATCTGTTTGAAACCGTCTTAAAACTGCATCCCCTTTCTAGAATGTTCCTCCAGCAGTACAGAATGTTCCGTGAAATTGCATAGAGGATGTTGAGTCTACCGTCCTTCGTGTACGTGCCCTAGCTCTCCCCTGCACAGGGGGAGAAGGGTGAGAATACGCAAGCTGTTTATCCAGGCCTCCCTGGTGCCGGTGCCAGTGCTGTGCTGGGCACCATCCCATTTACTTCCCAACTTCAGTGTGTGAGTCGAGAATCCTCTGTCGTCCCCATTTCCCAGACAAGCAAACCAAGGAGGCCCAGGGAGCGCTGATCAATTGCCCAGGACCACGTAGATGCCACAGTTAGTGTGGAAGCCCCTTTTTAAATAACTTTTGGGAATAAGTGAATGTTTTAAGTGAGGCAATACGTTGACAAGGAAATATGTCAAAGTTGGATTCACAGCCAGGTGTGTTGGCTATCACAGCCCTTGCTCTTGCCCCTGCACCAAGCTCTCTTTTCATGATAATGAACATTCATGGGGCCCTTTCCGCTTGCTGACTTTTTACACCTACCTTCTATTTGGTTGTCCACCTGCATGGGAGGTGGGCAGGGCAGGGTCTGTCCCATGTCGCAGGTGAGGAAACGAAGTCCCCATGAGGTTAGTGGGCTCACCCAGAGAGCCCGGTGGCCAGGAGAGGGCAGAGCTGGAAACAAGTTCCGTGGTCTTTTCTGCTGCTGCCCACGTGGGCGCAGGGTTGAGAGCAGGGGTGGGGCTGGCATTCTAAGATCCTTACTTCCTGTTACGTTCAAAACTTGTCCTTCGTAACACCATATCCCCCTGCATGCTGTCCACACAGGATCACACAGCCAAGTCAGTCAGAGGTTTGCGTGGCCATGCCCCGGAGGGTTCTCCAGGCATGTAGGAGACAACTGTGTGACCTGGTACAGACCCCGACTCCAGGACCAAATCCTGGGTTGACTGAGAACTCCAAAGCTTTTGCAACTGTTGTCTTAGTTTGGTCTCATCCCTTTGCTTTCTGGTACTGGTCTTCCTCATGCTTCCTAACTGGGATTTCAGCCCTGATGACCTGCTGTGCCACCTCCAGGGTCGCCTTTACAGGGTCCTCTGCTGCATGCATGACGTCACCTCCAAGAGGGAGGCTGGCGTCAGGACGTTGGGGTGTGTTTTTATGGCACAGCCTTCTGAGAGGGAGCTGGGGGCTAAGAGTGTCACCGGGGATGTCTTCCCACGATTCATCGTGTCGGCCCATAGGTTTCAGGTTTGGGACAGCACAGGAGCTGGTTCCTTCTCCCTCCCACCCCTAGGTGGAGGCCTGTGTTTGTCCCAGTGCCCTGTCGCTCTGCCAACAGAAAGCTCAGGCTTGGCTCCATGCAGGGAGTGGGAGAGAGGCACGAAGGATCTTCCAGAGTCTGGATCTTTTCTAGCCCAGTGGTTTCACACCTTCTTCTGCAGAACCCCGACCCAGGGACGTGCTCTGGAAGTTCTGCACACGTTTGGCTCAAGTTTCACTTTTCAAACATAGTGTAACTATTTGTATAAAAACTGCTGGGAAAAGCTACACGGACTCTTGAACATATCCTAGGCCAGAATGGTTACCCACTGGGGCCACCAGTGCCCTACTGTGGGCCGCTGGGTGGTTCTGTGCAGATCTCAGGCTCGCACAGCATCTTCCCAGGCTGCTGTGGTCGGGGAACTGTGGGAAAACTGTTCCCTTTTGCTTTAGTTACACATAGAACAGGATTTTCAACACAAATACAGGCATGAGTTGGTGGCCGAGGCTGTCAGTGGCCTTCACAACCCCATCTCTGGATCACTGAGTCTCATTGTTGACTTTTTGAGTCAAGGATATAAATTTTAACTCATAAAGGAAAAATATAGTAATAACATTGCTTCTATTTTAGATGTTGAGTTTCCGGGAGAGATTTTATTAGAGGGTGGGAAAGGATTCTGCTGTTAAGTGGAAAAAAAATCAAGGAAGTTAAAACACTGAGCTAATGAGTAGAGCACTGTGCTTGGGATTAAAGACTTGGATTCTCATCTCACTTTGCCAGGGACCAGCTGTGTGATTCTGGGGCCAATCACCTCACTTCTCTGGGCCTCAGTCTCTTCATCTGTAAAATGGGGAGGTTGAATGCATAAGGTCTTTTTTATTTTGAAGTTCTGTGAGTATTTCTTCCTCCATTTCCCCTGACCCGGCTTCCCCATTAGCACCTTATCCTTTAGAGATCGGTGCTCATCCTTGCTGGACAGCTGAGTTCTTGCCTTTAGATTAGCTCTGATCCTTGAGTACTTAGAGTTAAACTGTATGGATCTGAAAATGCTTGAGGGCCAGCTTGAATGTAAAACTTTAATGGAGCATCTCCCTGCTTCAGCTTGACCTTGTGTTTAACCAGCGAGCATGCCCAGCAGACAGATATCCTTAAATGGCACTGCCGCTCTGTGGGCAGAATCGGAGCCTCCCTCGTTCTCAGTTGTGGCCTTGATGCTGTCCTAGTCCCTATCTGTTATCAGAGCGGCCATGTTGGGTGATCCCGGCGTGATGCTCGTGTCGTATGGTTAACAAGAAGCCCTGCCTGATTGCGAAGACTCTGGCACCTGCTCACATACAATTAGAAGACACCCAAAAGAGCAGAAGCTCGAGTTCCCAGGGCAGGAGAATTTTTTTACCAAATAGATTTAAACATCCTTTGGGCTTCAGAAGGTTCAGGGAAATAACCTTTTCCCCCGGAAAGCAGTACATGTTGCAGCCCCTCGCTCCCCAGAGTCACTCTTCCTGAAACTCTGACTTGTGGGAGGATGGTCAGAGATAGCACCCAGGTGGCCCAGATCCCCAGGTGTGTGGACTCCTAGCTTTTATTCTCAAAACCTGAGATCGCTTAGTAACCATCCTTGAGAGATGCTGGAAGTTTAAGCACACAGCTTCTGGCTCTGGTGGATTCTTGAAAATAACACTTAGCTTAGACATGTTTTGTTTGTATGTAGTTGGTTACCTGGGCTGTATTGATCAGACCAAAATGAAAGTTGATGTGAAACAAAGCCAGAAGGATGGAAACTTCGGGAGGGAGAGGTGGAATTTATTACACCATAAAGAGACAGCTGGCAGCTGACCCGGAGTGGAGCTCATTTGGCTTCTTATAGGCAAAGTAGCTTTTATAATCACACAACCCAGGGGTCATTAAAAGAATGCATGCCTGCTGAGCCTGCAGCCCTCAAAATGTGACTTTTTAAGGAAACCTCAACCTGGCTCGAGAGAAAGGAAGCGTGGGCCCAGCATGGTTGCTGAGGAAAGGGGCGTTCTGGTTGGTAAACACAGCAATTTTGCAAGAATCTGAACACTTTCAAATATGCTTTATACTAAAGCTATATATTCTGAACTTCTAATTACCCTCTAGGGCTTTTGTAAGGAATAAATGAAATTAAATGCGTTACCTGCTTAAAAGAGGCCCTGACACACAGTAGGGGCTCAATAAATGAATGAATAATCCCACAGAGTTCATCTAATTAACATTTTTACCTAGTGGCTCAGGATACAGATAAACAATACACCAGGAAAGGTAACCAATATTATTAAGCTTGCTTCCTGGGGACTGTGGGCATTTTACAGTCTCTAAAAAGGGAAGCAGAATCCACCAAATTCCGTACTTCACCAAGCAGAGACTCCTAACAGCAGTGGAATTTTCCTAGCCAGGCTCCCCTAGGACGTAGGAGAAATTTTCCACGTGGGGCAGACCTCCACGGCAGGTCCGTCAGGCTTCTCCCTCCCCACCCTGGGCTTGCCTCCACAGATCGGCTTCCAGATTCGCACTCGGGTGCAGGACCTGGGCCACGGCTGCATCTTCCTGGTGCAGAAGGCGGGGGCCCTCCAGGTGTGCCCGACGGACAGCTACACCAAGAGGGAGCTGATCGAGTGTGCCCGCGCTGTCACGGAGAAGGTAAGGAACAGCCTTAGGGGTGGGCAGGCATGGTGACCCTCCGGGACCAGGGACGCACCTGAAAATTAAGCCAAAAACCATCCAGGTGGGTCAGGTCCAGTTGTCTTCCCTCCCTCCCAGGGTCTCCCCAGGGACAGGGCGCATCAGGGAACTAGGGGTGATCCACAGTCCTGAGAAACAGTGTGTGTGGGACTGTCCCCTAGAGGTCTAGGCCCCGGTGGTCACCCTCAGGGCTCTTCTGCAGACAGACTGCACAGAGGGCATCCAAGTCATAGAGCGCCAGGAGCCTCTCCCTGCAGCCCCTTCTTAACAATTTTGCCCCCGGGCCTTCTCAGAGAGGCTCCCAGGTGTGAGGGCGGAGCGAGAAGGCCCCACAGCTCCTCTTGTGCAGCCCCTTTGTTTCCAGATGAGACAGTGAAGTGGGGAGGGCTACGTCGCCCGGTGGGAGAGCAGGAGTCTGCAGGCCGTTTTCTGACTCCAGCCACAGCTGATGTAGAGAGGATCCCATAGCGTGGTGCATGGGGCTCTGGGCTCCCAGCTAAGCTACTTCGCCCTGCCAGGCCTCGACTTCCTTCAGTAAAGTGAGGATGAGGAAACAGAATGAATGCCTGGCCCTTGAGTTGTGAAAATTAAACGCGGCAATTTGTGTAGAAGAGCTTGGCACGGTGCCAGGGGCACCATTCAGCATTTAATCATCCTGGCTGCTTGCCGTTCCCTGTCTCTGCCCTCCAGCACTCCCTTCTCCCAGGACGTTCTCCCTGGTTCACAGCACCCCATTCTGAACGTCCCTTCCGTCCCAGCAGCTCCTTGACTTTCCCGCAGTTTGCTGATGGTTTGCTTGGCTTATTTCTCAGAGTCGTCGTTTTCAGGGCAGCCCCTGTGCAGGCCGCCTGCGGTGCAGGCTGTGGCATCCGTCTTTGCTGCCTTTTCCCTCTCCTTCACTTGGGTAGCAGGACATAGAGCTCGGCACTGTTCAGACGCTTGGCAGCAGGACTCGAGGGGTGGCGGGGACCCTCCTCTGGAAGCTGCCACTACAGAGGCTACTCTGTACATGGCCCCTCGCCGCGGCCGAGCATCAGTCTGGCCGTCTACCCCAGCCCACAGGACCTTCCAGGCCTCCCTGGACTCTCCAGGACGAGGAAATAAATCTCTCAACTCGAGGAAGGCATTCTTCCTCCTTTCAAAGCCCGTCCTTGTTGTTAAAGTTACTCACGCCAGGTCCCCCCACGGAGGACCTTGGAATGGAGTCCCAAGGGAGGGGAGGAGAGGGTTTAAACTGCTTGATGTTGGCCAGCGTGGCCAAGCACCGTGGTCCTCCTGAGCTGGCCTCCGTCATACTGCTTCTCTCAGCAGAGGCTCCCTGACTCAGGACACCAGGAGAAGGATCGGGGCAGGGGGTGGCTGGCCTGCTGGGTGGTTTCCTGCTATCTGTCCCTGCCCTTTTCTCTCCTGCCCTCCCATCTTCCCTGGTGCTGTTCTTACCTGCCTTGCTTGGGTCTGAGTCCCCCCAGCCCCGAGAACAGACCCATAAGGGGAAGAGAGCGGCTGGCTGGGGAAGGAAGGAGGAGCTGCTGTGGCAAGAACTGGGGGGGACCTGGGAGGTGGGACCTGGATGTGAAGGGAGCACACCTTCTTTCCACAGCCTGGTGGGGAGCCATACCCAGGGGTGGAGTGGGTCCAGTTTGCCTTGTAGGAAAGTGTCTCTAGGAATGTGAGGGCGTACTGGAGGGGCGACAGGTGCCAATGAAGGGTTTCTGACACTGAAGTGAACACCTTAGCCAAACTGCTGGCCCCTTAGGTTCCTGGAATTACTATTCGGTGGTGGGCGCTGGCTCAAGGTGATACAGGAAAAATGGGGCATGAAAGGATGGCCATGCCACAGGTCTCAGACGAGTCCCCGGGATGCACCCCATCAAGTGAGGGTCCTTGGCTTCACACAGGAAAGAATTCAAGAGCCAGCCATAGTAGAGCAAAGGTAGATTTATTCACAGATACATACTCAATAGACGGAGTGTGGGCCGTCTCCGAAGGCGAGAGGCGACTTCAGAGCATGGAGCCCTCTAGGAAATGAGATCGGCCACGAGGTACGGGGTTGTTAGATTTTATGGGCTCAATAATTTCATATAGTAACAAGTGGGAGAATTATTCCAAGTGCTTTGGGGAAGGGGCTGGGATTCCCGGGGTACTCAGCCATTAGCCACTTTTTGACCTTTTATAGTCAGCCTTGAAACTGTCCTGGCACCTGTGGGAGTGCCATTTACCATGCTGTGGTCTTACAGTGAGCCTATAATGAAGCTCAAGGTCTTCTGGGTGTTGAATCTTCTGCCATGTTGGTGCTAACTGCTGTGTCATTCTTTTCATGGTTGTGCCCTGCCCCCTTCCCTCCTGTCTCTAAAGGGAGTGATGGGATGGGAAGGTTACATGAGGGGATCCCCTCTGGGCTCCAGGCCCTCTAGGGTCAACGGTGAAGAATTTCCAGTCAAGAGGCAGCAGGGAGGGTATAGCTAGTGGTAGAGCACATGCATGGGTGAGGTTTGGGGTTCAGTCCCCAGTACCACCAGTTAAAAAAAACAGAGGCAGCCAAGGGAGGAGTGATGAGTGTTAGCAGAGGGCTGTTCTACAGAAAACCTGATCAGACGGGACAGAATGGCCACACTTTTCATGGGAGCCTGATCTTTATCCTTCTTGGTGGCTTCAGAAACATAATCAAATAAGTGGATCATCTGCCCTTTACCGAACACTTACTAAGTGCCAAGTACTTTACATACATTTTTCTGCCCATTTATTCCTCTCCCAACCCTGATAGGCAAGAAGTAATAGCCCCCTTTTCCAGATGAGGACACTGAAGCTTAGAGCAGTGAAGCAGCCTACCTGAGGTCGTCTGGCTAGCAAATGGTGTTTGGACAGGCTGTGGATTCCAACGGTGCTGGTCACCCCTAAGCCGCATTGGCTCCTAGGGAGAAAATGCAGGGTTTTGTTCTTGTTTTTAATATTTTTTCCCAGTTTTATTGAGGTATAATTGGCATACAGTGCTGTATGAGTCTTGGTTGTATAGCATAGTGATTTGTCTTAGAACTGTCATGAAATGGTTTCAGTAAGTTCAGTTAACATCCATCATCTCATATAACTACAAAAAGAATATATGTGTATATTTTTTTCCTTGTGAGATTAGGATCTACTCTTAAGAACTGTCATAGAGATGACAAGGCAGTGTTAACTCTAGTCATCATGTTGTACGTTACATCCCCAATACATACTTACCTTGGAACTGGAAAGGTTGTGCCTTTGACCACCTTCATCCAATCTCGTCTCCCTCAGCCATAACCACAAATCTGATCTTTTTCATGAGGTTGGTTGTTTTCTGTTTTGTTTTCATTTTTATTCAATTTCTTTAAACTAAAATGAACAAAACCAATTCACCTATTTCTCCCACCTCCCATCTCCCACCTGTGATGACCACCAGTCTGTTCTTTTCTATATGAACTTGGTGGGGTTTTTTTTTTAATTCCACATATAGGAAAGATCACACAGTATTTGTTTTTCTCTGACTTTTAGCATAATGTCTTTGATATCCATTCATATTTCAAAAATGTCAAGATTTCATTCTTTTTTGTGGCTGAATAGTAGTCCATTGTGTATATATACAGCACATTTTCTTTATCCATCCATCCATCCATCAGTGGGCACTTAGGTTTTTTCCATATATTGGCTATGATAAATAATGCTGCAGTGAGCATGGGGGTGCCTGTAACTTTTCCAGTTAGTGTTTCTGTTTTCTTTGAATAAATACCCAGAAGTAGAATTGCTGGATCATATCATAGTTCTATTTTTAAAGTTTTGAGGAACCTCCATTCTGATTTTTATATGGGGCTGCACCAATTTATATTCCCATCAACCACGCACAGCCTCTTCTCTGCATCTTTGCCGATGCTTGTTACTTCTTGTCTTTTTGTTAATAACTTATTACAGGTGCAAGGTGCTATCTCCTTGTGCTTTTGATTTGCATTTCCCTGATAATTAACGATGTGGAGCATCTTTTCATGTACTTTTTGGCCATCTGTATGTCTTCTTTGGAAAAATGTCTGTTCACATCTTCTGCACATTTTTAAAACCAGACTTTTTTTTTTTTTGCTATTGAGCTATAATTAGTTCTTTATATGTTTATAAGATACATGATTTGCAAGTATTTTCTCCCGTTCAGTAGATTGCCTTTTCATTTTGTTGACAGTTTTCTTTACTTTACAAAAGCTTTTTAGTTTGATGTAGTCCCACTTGTTTATTTTTGTTTTTGTTGCATGTGCTTTTGGTGTCAGATTCAAAAAACCATCACCAAGACCTATGTCAAGGAGGTTACTGCCTATATTTTCTTCTAGGAGTTTTATGGTTTCAGGTCTTACCTTTAACCCATTTTGAGTTCCTTTTTGTGTATAAAGATAGTTCCGTTCTTTTGCGTGCGGCTCTCTAATTTTCCCAACACCATTTGTTGGACACACTGTCTTTTCCCCCATTGTATATTCTTGGATACTTTGTCATAAATTAATTGACCACACATGCATGGGTTTATTTTTGGGCTCTCAGTTCTGTTCCATTGGCCTATGTGTCTGTTTTTATGCCAATACCATACTGTTTTAATTACTATTGCTATGTAATATAATTTGAAATCGGGGGTGTGATGCCTCCAGCTTTGTTTTTCCTTCTCAAGATTGCTTTGGCTGTTTGGGGTCTTTTATGGCTCTATACAAATTTTACAATTGTTCTATTTCTGTGAAAAACGCCATCGGACTTTTGATAAGGAATGCATTGAATTATATATTGCTTTCAGTAGTACAGATACATTTTAACAATATTTTTCCAAATCATGAGTATGGAATATCTTTCCACTTATTGGTGCCTTCAATTTCTTTCTTTAATGCCTTGTAGTTTTCAATATATACATCTTCTACCTTCTTGGTTAAATATATTCCTAGTTTTTTATTCTTTTTGATGCATTTGTCAGTGGGATTGTTTTCTTGATTTCTCTTTCTGATAGTTTGTTTTTAGTGTAGAGAGACACAACAGATTTTTGTATATTGATTTTGTATCCTGCCACTTTACTGAATTCATTTGTTCTAACAGTTTTTTTTTTTCATGGAAGCTCCAGGGTTTTTTATGTATAATACCATGCCATCTGCAAATAGTGACAGTTTTACTTCTTCCTTTCCAATCTGGATGCTTTTAATTTCTTTTTCTTGTCTCGTTGCTCTGGCTAGGACTTGCAATACTGTGTTGAATTAAGGTGTTATGGGTAGGCATCTTTGTCTTGTTCCTGATCTTGTTCCTTTGAGTATAGTGTTAGCTGTGGACTTGTCGTATGTAGGTAGCCTTTATGTTAAGCTGTGTTCCCTCTATACCCACTTTGTTGAGAGTTTTTATCATCATGGTTGTTGAATTTTGTCAAATGCTTTTTCTGCATTTGTGGAGATGACCATATGGTTTTTAGCCTTCATTTTATAAATGGGGTGCATCACACTGACTTAAATGTAGATGTTGAACCATCCGTACATCCCTGGACTAAATCCCACTGGACTGTTGTTTATAATACTTCTATTGTGTTGTTGAATTCAGTTTGGTGATATTTTGTTGAGGATTTTTGCATCTATGTTCATCAGGGATATTGGCCCATAATTTTCTTTGCTCGTGGCACCCTTCCCTTATTTTGGTATCAAGGTAATGTTGGCCTCGTAAAATGAGTTTGGAAGAGTTTCCTCCTCTTCTATTTTTTGAGCATTCTTTACAGTGTTTTTTTGAATCTGAAGACCTTTGGGTTACATTTTCTCCATTTCTCTGTATCCTCAACATTTCCTCTCTGTCTACAGGTGTCCTTGGTGCTGTCAGCTCTTCAGGCTGGGAACAAGGGGACCCAGGCATGTATTACAGCTGCCACTGCCGTGTCCGGGATCATCGCCGACCTGGACACCACCATTATGTTTGCAACTGCAGGGACCCTGAATGCAGAGAACAACGAGACCTTTGCAGATCACAGGTATGGGAGTGGACGCCATCCTGGGGGCTCCTGGATGGGAAGAGGTTCAGTGTGGCCTCATGGACTTTGGAGATGGTACCCAAGAGCCAGAAATGTGATTATCTGTTTCAATTTCAACAAGATGCTCAAGTTGGGAAAGTGAACCAAGTAGTCAACATAAGTGCCTTTTGTCAACTGTAAACAGGGTCATTTTCCAGGTTTGCCTTTCACAGCCTAAATCTGGTCCTCCAGCAGAGGATACCTTTGTGGTCTTTTTGCTTTTTTAGCTGGAAGAAAGCTGTGCCTCTGATTTGCTTACTAATCCCAGCGAGACTAGAAGTGGCCAGGACGGGCATTTAGCTCTTACCTAAATGGGGAGTGAAGCTTGGAGCCTGCTGTCTCTCCTGGGCTGGTCCTTCAGGCTCTGCTCCAGAGGCTGGGGCCAGGGTCTCCGCTTGCTGCTGGAGACGCCCCATCTCCTCACCATGTGTCCAGCACCTATTTTTCCTCTCTCTTCAGCCCCAGGGCTGGGCTAGGGAGGAGATTCCCGGTGTTCTGTCCTCCCTTCCAGAGCCCCTTGGGCTCTTAGTGTCCTGGGCAGGGTCCCCTGTCCCGTGTATCCTCCCAACCCCTTGTAGCTATGAAGTGTTCTCTGAGATCGCGGGAACCACGGGAAAGCAGCTGCAGGGCAGGACAAGGAGGCCGAACGGGTGGGCCTGAATCTTGATGTGAAGCTTTACTGTTAATTGACCATGTGAATTCTGGGCCCACTTTCCTCTCCCCTCTCCCATCTTTCCTGCCTGGAAGATGAGAGCCCCCCGTTGAGGGAGTAGAAACACATCACCGCTCTCCTCAATGCCCTTTAACGAAAGACCCTAGGAGGGTTTCTTTTCTTGCCAACTACCAGTGACCAAGCTCTGCCCTGTGTCTCTCCCTTCCCCTTGCCCTTCCCACCTTCACAGGGAGAACATTTTGAAGACAGCCAAGGCCTTGGTGGAAGACACAAAATTGCTGGTGTCAGGGGCCGCATCCACTCCAGAAAAGCTGGCCCAGGCAGCCCAGTCCTCAGCAGCCACCATCACCCAGCTCGCCGAGGTGGTCAAGCTGGGGGCCGCCAGCCTGGGCTCTGACGACCCGAGACCCAGGTAGGTAGGTAGGGGCTTGCGTTCCCACAAACGCCATGCACCAGGCCTCAGAAGAAGCCAAATGCAGAATAAGAACTTCTGGAGTAGACTGTATGTGCTTGTGGATCCATGGTTTGGGGGAACCGGTAGGAAGCACTGTCCAGGCAAGGTCGTGGCATGGACCGTGGTGCGGCCATGGGGATGAGACAGGCCCACAGATTCGGGAGGAATCTGAAAAGAAGACTCAGCCGAGCTTGGTGTGCGACTGGACTCAGGGAGAGTTTGGAGACAAGGGAGGAGGTGGAGGCCAGGGTGCCAGGCTAGGTCAGTGAATGCTCCCTGGGGGGAGGCCTGGCTTGGGCGGAGATGAAGGTGAGTTCAGTTTGGGGCGTGTTGCACTGGACGTTCTGGAGGGACCCGCAGATAGAACGAGTGAGTGGCCTTGAGCCTGATCAGGTTTGGGGACGTGGAGTCGGGTAGTTACCAGACAGTGACTGCAACTGCGAGGAAGGAGGAGCATGGGGGGGCAGAAGAAGGCATCAGGGCAGAGCTGAGGAGTCCACCAGCTGGGACCGTTTTAGGAGACAGAGATGCCCATGGAGATTGAGCAGCAGTGGCAGCAGGTCAGAGGAAAGCCGGGGGCCTGGTGTCAAGAGGAGGGAGTGCTTCAGCCCACCCGGGACACTGCCCAGGAGCAAGAAGGATGCAGGTGGGAGAGCCAGCCCCCAGCCCCAGGGTCACGGAGGGCAGTGTCGCCCTGCCAGGACTGGCGGTGAGGAGTGGCCAGGCCGGTGAGGAAGGAAGCCAGCGTGTATAGACAGCCGCTGGGCAAGTTTGGCGCTGAAGGGGAGGAGGGAGAGGAGCTGGAAGGGCCCCCCCGCGCTCTGACTCTCTGCCCCAGGTTTAGCATCACTGATGTTATCTCAGGGTCCTTGGCCCAAGCCTGGCCCATCATCTCCTAAGGCAGGGAACCGTAGTTGAACCAACAGCCAGCCACGGCCATCGTGAAGGGAGCCTACCCATTCCCGAGTGCAGAGCTTAACGATCCCTCTGTGGTTTCAACCTCAGCACCATCAAGTGATAAACACTTCAGTTTTCACTGCTTAAACCATACTCACTCAGTAGGGAGCCTATCAGGCCCACTTGCACAGCACTGGGTAGAGAACCCCTACCATCCGGCACCCGTGTTGGCCGCAGCTGCCGATCTGGGGAACACACGGCCGCGGGCTTGGCTCCCACGCGGCAGTGACCCTTCCCTTCCCGACGCCCTCCAGTGGAGCAGAACTCCGTGAGGGAAACGTTCCCTGCGTTGCCTTTTGACTCCTGCTGGCTTTCTCTTTGATAACATCAGAGCTCAGATTGGCTGCCCTCTGGAATTCCAAGCATTCCCAGAAGTCTAGGCCTCGGTATTGTTCTTACCCCGCTGGAGGAAGGAAAAGCCCAAAAACCGCTCAGGGGGGTTGGAACCCACGCTCTCCCCGAGCCTGGCTCAGCTTTAGCAGAAGTGAGTCAGCCGAGAGGATTTAAATCTTTGCACACAGAGAAATGTATCGGCTTGTGTAGAGTCTTAACTCCCAAATGGTCTGCATGCCCAAGAGCTCCAGCCTCTTTTGAGACCACCAGTGGAAAATACCCCTCAGAAAAGTGCACCCACTCACTGGTCACTGCCCAGTGGACCCGGATGGGGCAGTGAACACCGGGTGTTGGCCGCACACCTGCCGGCTGCCCCTGCCCTCTGCGATCTCAGGAGCCAGTGTGTGGTCCTCACCGCCGCCTTCCTCATGAGCCCTGTCACAAACTGACCTGCCCTGTGGTTTCAGAGGTTGGCAGAGATCCCGTGTGCCCTGTGGGTGAGAAAGCATGGGATGGGGACGGAGAGGGTGTCCAGTCACAGTGTTGCTGTGCTTACAGCTGTCTGGGATGCTCGAATTTCTTAGATATTTCCACATCTGTTATCTAGTTCATCCCGGCAGCAGTGCAGTGAGACAGGCAAGGCTGGTGCCACAGACCCCTTTAGAGATGAGGAGTGGGGGCCATAGAGCTTCATACCCTGTGGAGGTGAAGACCGTGGCCCTTGGGATCACAGACCAGAGTCCGCATCTCACCCCTGCCGTTCCCCGGGCTCTGGGAGTGTGGACACGAGCATCGTAGTTCTCACTGGAAACAGCAGTGGTGAGAGTGAAACAAGATCATGTACATCGTGCTTGGCTCAGCCCCGGGAACACAACCCTCAGTGAAGGGAAGTTGGTGTTGTTACAGAAGTAGGAGTTGTTGTAGCTGCTAGACCCAGAAGACTTAAATGTTACGCCCAACGTTGTGTAATTCCTAAGTGTGCCTGGGACTTGGGATTCCAAGTCTAGCGTACAGAAGAGGTGGCCTGTGGTCTCTGTTCAATTAGAAGAGTGAAAATCCTGTGTTATGTCCAGTGTTACGTGGGGGTATATCTGTGTACTCGTTCACTCCGTATTTACTGAATGCCCAGTACACGCCAGGCCCTGGTCTGAGTACAAAACACAACAGACAGAAGCCCAGACCAGGGGAGAAGACAGATGTATTAGTACATAAACAATAAAGTAGTTCCACATACTGCTGACTGCTATAAATAAAACAGGGCCAGCGGATGAGCTTGTGATGGGGGTGAGCTCGCAGCTCGAGTGGTCAGGAAGGGTCTCCGGGGACATGACAGCTGAGCTGAGACCTGAATGATGCAGAGAGCCGGGTTCCAGGCAGAGAGAGGAACAACGGGAGAATCCTTGAAGCAGGAATGAGGGAGGATTTCCAATACAGAGGAAGGACAGACCCACGTGCCGGCAGCATGCTGAGGGAGTCAGAACCCCAGGACCCAAAGCTGGGGGTGCAGGTGGGCTGCCACGGGGACCTTGTGGGTCAGGGCAGGAGGCTTGCATTTTGTGCTCAGTGGTTTGGGTGACCCAGTTCCGGGCTCAGGTGGGTGGTGTCACTCCTCGGGTGTCTGCTTAGCTGCCTTCACAGGCAACTGGTCAGCAGGGCCAGCAGCTGGGAGGTGTTTCTGAACCTGCAAAATGTAGCTGGCTTCTGCGTCCTGACTCAGCACCTGCCTCCCTTGGGGAGCTTCTTCAAGTCTGGATTCTGGACCTCCACCCAGACTCCTGCATCAGAGTCTCCAAGGGTGGCTGCTGGGGTTTCTGCCATGCTGAAGACCTGGGGCTGTGATGGAGAGCCCCACCTCCCGGCTGCCACCCCCTGCCCTTGGCCGCGTGCCCTCGGGGCAGCCCGCTCACCTTGGGCCATGCTCTCTTTCAGGTGGTGTTGATCAATGCCATCAAAGACGTGGCCAAGGCCCTTTCAGATCTCATTGGTGCCACCAAGGGAGCTGCCAGCAAGCCTGCCGACGACCCCTCCATGTACCAGCTCAAGGGGGCCGCCAAGGTAGAGTGGAGCCCCAGCTAGGGGCAGGCAAGCTGGGGGTGAAAGAGCGAGAGAGGCACATTCAAGAGTGATGGAGGATGTACATCTGAGCTCCTTTCTCACTTAAATGGAAGCACTTGACTTGTGGCATTAGGTCTGGAACTAAAAGAAGGGGTCAGACCTAGCTCACTCCCTTTTCTCTCGGCCCCTCTTCCCATGCAGGTGATGGTGACCAATGTCACCTCCCTCCTCAAGACTGTGAAGGCGGTGGAGGATGAGGCCACGCGGGGCACACGGGCGCTTGAGGCCACCATCGAATACATGAAGCAGGAGCTCACAGTAAGGAGCCACCGGTCACCTCCCTCGGGCCCCGAGTCCCACAGCCGACCCCAGTGCAGCTTCTCTGAGATTTTTAGCATGAAGAGGTTTTACCTGGAGCCCCTGAGCTAAGGAGGCCTCTCACCTGCCTGCTGGTAGCTTTGTATAATGGAGACACTGTGTGAAACTGACCACTTCCGAGTTTGGCTAGGATCGATTTGTAATTAAGTGAACTGAAGTATATCGCTTGGGACTATTCAGGTTTCATTCCACTAAAACTGCAGAATGAAACGAAAGCACTCCAGGAGGGTCCTGGCAAAAGGAAAATTCAGGGTGGCTGCACGCACTCGTGATTTGAAATGACGTGTACAGTGCCCCGCCACACACAGCCCCTCTTGGTGCCCGTTGCCACTGGCAACAGCTCACACGGCTGCACACATAGGGGTTTGGAAGTCTGAGGTTCGCTCTTAGGAAACCCTGGATGCCTTTCCCTGAGACATTTCCCTTTGAGATCCAGCTGCCTTCTGTGTGAGGTGTCTGACCTCAGAGACGTGGACCCCGTGTTCGCCCTTGCCTCGTTCCAGCATTGGAGAGCGAGCGTGTCCTGGGGTTACTGTGGTCGTGCCTGTTCTTTCGATCCCATGATGGCTGTGGAGTGACTCATCGTCATCCCTAGAAATAGAAATCTGCTGAAAATGAGTAGTTTCAAGCTAAGGTTTCTTTTTAATAGGACATCTGATCATAGATGACGCTTCTCTTTTGGAGGGGGAGTGGGGACCTGTCTTAGCTCCCAGTAGTTCTGCTTCTTTAGAGCATCACCTGGTAAAGGCCACAAGCCCCTGAGTGTCAGGGACCCCTGAGCCCTTCTCTTGGGCTTTGGAGGTAGAGCCTTGGATTCTCTTGTCCACTTTTTAATGAATCCTACTTTGGTTGATTTTGTGCTTAGTTCTCACATAAAGGAGAAACCAAAAACTTCAAGCAGTGTCCTTAAAACAGAGCTGCCTGGAGCTCACCTGCCCGCACGGGCTGGGTGTTTCTTAACAAAAGTCTGGACATACGTTCTGACAGGTAGGGGTGGGCCGCATGGTGACAACGAAGGAGATTTGAAATTTGGAACTTTCTTGAGATCAGACTCGTGGTCAACCTAAGTAGAGCGACGTGGTTTAGAATGGACCCAGATCGCACATTTCCATGGATGGAGGTTTCCAAAGGAGCATGTGACCCGAGGCCCACGTTAGTGTGGAGGGCTCTGTCCACGTACGTTACTCTGTAGTATTCCGGGGGGTCCTGGGTGCCCTGTTTGCAGCTATTCGTTTTTAGGAGGATAGTGATGTTTGGCACTGGTTGGCACATGGTAGAGATGCTGGCTGGGTCCTCCCTTCTGCCCAACGGATGATTTCCCTGCTGAAACACGGCTCCCTAGGGCTGAAGGTAGAGCAGCCCCACCTGTTTTGGGTGTCCTCGTGTGCAGGGCCAGCCAGAGCACCCGTCACTCATGTCAGAGCCGAGGCAGGTGGGCTGGAAGCAGGAACCGCTGGCTTGACTGGCAGGTGGAACTTAAAAGTAGGATATTCACTTACCATGGTTAATTTATTTCAGCTTCTCTAAAGGTTGTGTGTGTGTGCGCACGTGCATATGTGTTAAATAATTCACAGTGTCACCGTGGCTCACTTGACATGAACACCTCCACACAGTTATGCAGTTATATTTGTAAGACAGGCTAAGAATAGAAGAAACTGAATACTTCATTTCCCCCAGCTCCACACCCTCTTAAAGAGAGAAAGCTGAGTCCAAAGTGATGCCTGCAGGTGAGTCCTGCCCTGGAACCAGCACTGAGACTGCAGTGTCTCTGGAAGCTGCTGAAGCACCAGCAGGAGTGGGGCAGGAGACCTGGGAAGCCACACCACCCCCTCCCCTGGGGCAGTTTATAAACACTGAGTGACATCTTCCAACAGTGAATGGGTTAACGCTGGAGATGCGTCTCCATCCCCATGTTGTCCCGTGAATGCCAAGTACAGGTGTGCGAGGCTTATCCATGCAGGAATCTTGAGAGCAAGAATGATAGGACTGCACTCAAATTAAATTTCTAATTTCCTGCCATTTGACGGTTTCTCCCCTGACTGGCTCGCTTTTCAGACACTGCAGCCCTGTAGGAGAAGCAGAAGTTACTCTTGTCCTTCCCCTTCTGATTTTTTCACCTCTTTGGTTTCTAACTTCCAGGTATTCCAGTCAAAAGAGGTACCTGAAAAGACGTCATCACCTGAAGAATCCATCAGGATGACGAAAGGCATCACCATGGCAACAGCCAAAGCCGTGGCCGCTGGGAACTCGTGTCGACAGGAGGACGTGATTGCCACCGCCAACCTGAGCCGGAAGGCCGTGTCGGATATGTTGACGGCCTGCAAGGTAGAGGCCTTGGCGTTGTTTTGGGTGGGTAGGCGGTGCTCCGTCAGGGCTGAGCTGTTGGGTTCAGCCAGCCGCATGCGGAAGGGAGCAGCTCAGTGCCTTAACCTGGGTAACAGCAGAGACGCTGAAGGCGGGTGTGCATCAGCCCTCGGGAGGTGGTTCTCTGAGCGGTTCTGTGTCCGAGGGTGGTGGGGTCTGCTTGGTGACTTAATCTCCCACTTTTCCTCCCAGTTCTTTTTTTTTTTTTGAAAACCACAGACAATTTATCTTTCTAAAATTAGATTAGGAGGGAAAAAAATGAAGAACCCACGGTAGCAGGAAGAAGCAAGAAGAGTCTTCTAGGGTCTGGCATTGGATGAGATGTCCGGTTGCTGTGCATTCCCACTGTTTTCCCACGGCAGAACATAGGGCAGAGGCTTGGGAACGCGCATGCCTGAAGCCGGGTTACTCTTATGTTCCATAACTGTGTTGCTTGCAGGGCTGTTGTGCCACAGTAGTTGGCTGTGCCCCAGACAAAAGGGGTACTTGTCTGTTCCCACAAATCTCTATCCCAGTCTTTATCGCGAGGAGGGCACTGCCGTGTGCTCTCAGCCAGAGTCTCTTGTCCAAGGTTCCTGGTTTGGGTGACTATATCCTGCTCAATGCAGCTTTTGTCATCACAGCTTGAGATATGATGACTGATTTCAGCCCGAGGAACCTGATGGCGAGCACTGAAGGGACAAGTAGCCAGTTTGTGTGCGACATCAGGATGATTCTTTCTGCACCTGATAAGATGATAAGGAAACCTGCAGGCCCTGATCTGGTGGTTTTTACCGTAGGGGAATTGTAATAGCTTTTCAGGGTCCAGGGGATCGATACAGGTTTCTTCCACGTTGGAGATGAAGGAGCCAAGTCCAAGTGCTTGGCCGAGACACGCTCCCCCGACAGTCGCCTTTGCCCCCCAGTTCTTTCTAAGTAGACAGGACGCCTTCCTACGGGGGCAGCCACTCGGCAGTAGTAAGGAGGGACTGTGGCCTTTTGTTCCAGGCCCTCCAAAGGAAAGCCGCACCCCTCGTCTGCCTGCACCCTTTCCTGCCTCCATAGGTCAGCTGCTCTGTGCCAGGAGGGGTGTTGCCCTAACTGGGTCGGGGAGAGAGTTAGAGGAACCAAACAGAGCGTCAGGGATCTGCCTTTTTGCTCTCTGATCCTTGGGGAGACACCCGGGGCGGCCACCCTGAGCCGGTGCTTGGGGAGGGAGCTGGGGAGACCTGAACTTTACGACCTTTGTGTTATTTTTTTATCTATTAATCAAGAGGGCCCCTAAGATCCCCCACCCCCTGCTGTTGAGCACCTCCCCCCCCCCCCCCGCAGCCCTTCCCCCTTCTCAGGACGGCTGCATCCCAGGGTTGCTGGCTTCTGCTCGGTGATGGGGCAGTAACCCCCTGCCATGGCGGGCAGGTGGGATGAACCATGGAGGTAGAAAGCAGCTGTTGCAGTGTGGGGGCTTCGGGAACAGGGCCCTTCTCTGTGGTGAAGTGAGCTGTGGGGAGAGCTGCTGGCAGGTCCGACACTGGCTTCTGAGGTTCCTCTAAGGGGTAGGATGGGCTGGCTGTCACGCGGCAGAAGGGATGGGCGTGCGAGGGCCCGGCCTGGGAGACAGCACTGCATTTCCTGGTCTCCTGGGTGTGGGGGAGGGTAGAGCCTAGGGAGTGGTGGGGTGGGGGCAGAAGAAGGTGGCAAGATGGTAGGACCACTGTCATGAGGACCATGTGTGCTGGGTCAGGGAGTGTAGACTCTCCCAAGGCCACCAGTACAGTTTTGAAGCACTCCATGGCATCTGCCCTGGCAGAAGTGGTAACTCCCAAAAGGGTTACAGCCTCAGTCAGAATAGCCTTGACCCAGCAGGATGGGGCCTGAACGCCACCACGGTGTCCATGCAGGGCACCTCCTAGTTTTGGAAGGGCTGGCAGGTGCGTTCTGTCATGGTCCTAGGTGGGAAGGGTAAGGGGAGTTCTTCCTAATGATGATTGGAAGATCATTGGATGATGATGACACAGGATGGAGACATGAAGCGGCATGACCAAGGGCACACACTGTTACACTCAGAACCAGAGCTGCAGTGATGTCTCCTGCGTTCAGGGCCAGCTGCTGCTGCCACCCAGGGCCTCCCAGCCACAGAGCTCCAGGTCACTGTGGTTGATGACTGTCGGGTACTTTGGTCTCCCTGTGACAGACGTGAAACGAAAGGGGGAAATTGAACAGATTAAGGCGGAAATGGAAGGCAGCTCAGATTTTCGTCTCTTTCTTAACACCCGTCCTCCTGTTTTCAGAGGAGCAGGTTAAGGGTTGAAATACATTCCCCATTTGCCCAGTCTCAGCTCCTCACTGTTACCCCACACCTGGGGTCGGGCCATCTAGTTTTGCAGGACAGAATAGCAGCTGGGGCTTCACACGCCAGTACTAGGTGTGATGACAGGTGTCACCGCTGAGCCCTGAGGCTCCTGTGAGGGTGGGACTTAACACTTAGTTTTCCTCTGGTCTCCTGTATTCCCCATCCCTTCACAGAAAGGAAGTGAGGCCGCTTGCCGGAAGGGGAGTGCAGCAGGAATATACAGAAAACCAGGGATGCGCAGTGGGCGGTCAGGGAGGAACCTGCTTCGTGCTAAGCAGAGGGCCACGTGGCCATATCCGAGCACCACCTTTGGGGCTGAGCAGGGCAGCCAGGGCAGAGACGGAGATGCAACAGGTTACACACTGACTCGTCTTACCACACAGGGAGGACTACACTAATTGCTCCAGTGGGGACAAGGCCGTCTACACCCTAAGTTAATTCTAGTGTCTGTTTCTTTCTGGCCTTACTTTCATGTGCTTATGTCTACATTAGAGACAATTTTCTATCTCCTATACCAGTGAATGTTACATGACCGTTTCTGTGTCATTGTGACTGACTCTTTAATGACCGCAGAATACTCCTTCCTCCACTATCAGATATTTAGATTGTACGTTTTTTTAATCATCAGCTTTACTGCAGTGAACATCTTTGGGCATATCCATTTTTTCTGTGCTTTGAATAATATCCTTCGGTGAGATTCCCAGAAGCAGAATTAGCAGGTCAAATGGTAGGACATTTTAATTACTGCTAGATGGCTCTCCCAGAGGGTTCTAGCAAGTTAGAGCCAAGCCAGCAGCCGTGACTGACCAGCAGTCACCATCAGCCCCACACGACTCTCATGAGGGCCCTGACGTGACCCACGGGAGGTGATGTTGAAAAGCATCATAGCCCTGGCCTTCCCCGGGGGAAGGGGGCGTCATCACCCCAGACCGGATGTGTCCTCACACAGGGGAGCCAGGCGGAGTAAAACGTGGGAGGAGTTAAAGGCATGACCCGTCGGTCCCTGGCTGAGTCAGACCAGCTTGTAAGTGACAGATGCTGGCCTCACGAATTATCCCCACTCATCCTGGGATGCTTTGAGGGGCAGGAAACGGACCGTGTTCCCCAGGGTTCCCTCAACATCCCCCCTCCTACGGAGAGGGGCCTTGACTGGAGGAAGCAGGGAGGCTGGTCATTATTCCCCTACTGCCCCAACATTTTATCCTAATGTGTGATTTGTATTTGCCCTGATTTGTGATTTATTTGCAGTTTTCTATTTTATAGTATCCTGTACGCACTTTCTGGTTCTTCCAGAGCAAGGGTATAGCAGGAGGAAAGGCTAAGTGGGTAGGGTTGCCAGACTGAGCACATAAGAAACAGGCTGCCTTATACTTCAGCTAAAATTTTTCATTGTCTGTTCGCAATTCAGATGTAACTGGATGTTCTGCAGTTCATCTGGCAACCCTGTGAATGGGTGTGCCGTCTGAAATGATGTATCTGCAGGTCACAAGTACAAGCAGAAAGGGCCCGATGCTGTGTTAACCATATGTCCCGGCTCGCTTATCTCGACGTGTATAATGTGATATGAGTTATTTATGGCACCTCTGAGGGACTGGGGAGCTCCCCCTCTGAAGGTTCCCGGGAGCCGGAGGGCCCCGGTCAGGAGACTCACCGTGACTGGGGTGTGGTCAGGTCACGGAGTGAGGACCCCGGGCCTGGTGAGCCTGTGAGGAGCAGTGAGGGGTCTGCAGGACACCTCCCGCCGCTGGAGTGGGACAGGCTGATCCCCGGACGGGCTGGCTCCTGCTGTAAGCCCCAGTCATGAATCTTTCCTGGACATCTTGGTGCTTGTGGAATTTCCTACTTTTAAATAAAAGGTAGGGGGCTGCCAGTGAGAAAGGAAGGAAAGAGGGGCCAGATTCACTTGCTTTTGCCTGGCCCAGGGGCACTTTAAAAAGCAAGACACAACCTGTGGTCAGAGATCCTGCAGTGGAGACAGGTGGAGGAGGGCCCCCCTCTCCCGAGGGAGGCAGGAGAGTTTCCTCAGAGAGGGCGCTCCAGGTAAGAAGGAGTTCCCGAATTGAGGACTCCTGCCTCTGGGTCCAGGGCTGCACAACACTGCTGGGCAGGGGACCCCACCTGGCTGCCTGGTCCACTTACCATCTGCCTCTTCCTGATTTAAGACATCCCCGTTCCTTTCTCTCTCCAGCAAGCATCCTTCCACCCTGATGTCAGCGAGGAGGTGCGCACCAGAGCATTGCGGTACGGGACGGAGTGCACCCTCGGCTACCTGGACCTTCTCGAGCACGTCTTGGTGGTGAGGAGGGGCGTGGGCCAGGGTGGGGCTGGGGAGGAGCTAATGTGGGCACAGAGCATCCTTTGCTCAGGAAAACCCCTCTTAGAGAGTCAT